TATATATATTATGTTTGACTATATAAATTTTATTTAAAATTAGTATATATAAATATTTTTAAATATATAAATTATATTTGAGATTTATGATAAATAATTTATATTATAACAAAAAAATTATTTTTATTTATTGATAACTTGTTTTAAAATATTTATGTTTAATTCATAAATAATATGATAAATAAAAATTGAATTAGATAAGAAAAATAAATTTCTACAAATTCTTTTGATGAAAAAAAGTTCTTAAAAACACTCTCGCTTAAGTTGAGGTTCATATTTAATACATAGGAGTTGATTTTAAATAATAAAGATTATTTGATTAATAAATAAAAACTAAAAAAATTTAAATAATACTTTCAATAAAGTTGTTTCACTATTTTTATATATTTGAGAAAATTTCGTTGAAACAAAACGTATAGAAATTTTTTAATTCTCGGGAAATATATATAAACATTTTCAAGAATATTTATAACAAGGGATAAAAAAAATTTAGTTTTCATGAATCCTGATACTTAACTAAGATTCTTGATTTTCATGTGTGAAAAACTTTTCCCCTACCCAACATTCTTTAAACAAATAAAATTAGATGAAAGAAGTAATTTGGAAAACCATCATGCATCATCCCTAGTTTACATTTTCAATACATAATAATTAATATCAAAAGGCACTATATATTCTAGATTTTCAGTTCCATATATGTATGACAAAACATTTTATAAATTGCAGCATATATTTGTGGGTCTGCCACAGGTTACTAAGCTTGTTTTACCCTTTTTTCTCTGGTATTGGGGATATGGAGTTTCCCCCCCAGTCTCCATTTGTCTTCTTTTTCATATAATTGATTTTAATTTCTAGATGCTTAAGAAGTAACCGAGGGAATATTCGTGGAACAGCTGCATTGACACCAAAAAAAAAGTGTATACATAGGACCGAACTCAAGAAATAAATAAATGGCATATACAATCCAAAGAATATGGTCATGTTTCAAACTGCATGACCTTTTTGCCGAAAATACAAGACTGCACACATCCTATTCTTCTAACAAATTTAGCTCCTTGAATGGTGATCTTTTATCAGAATTGGCTTCAAGTTTCCTTATCCTCGTGGGAGACTGAATTAACATATTCTCTTTTACAATGAAACTAGCATCCTTTTTCAAAGTCATTACTGGATAACCATTCTCAAAAGACAGTACCATGCTTTTCAGCTTGTCCATTAGTAGAGTGTCTGCAGTGGAGAACTCACAGATTTTATCACTGAATCCCTGAACAAAAGCCAACATGTTTTCCCTTTCCGATGACAGTCTGGTGGCATTTTCAAGTAAATTTCTATTCTCCATCTTGAGTTTCTGAACCAAAGCATCTGATTTTCTTAGATTAGTCTCCATTTGATCATTCAACTCCATTACCTTTGACTGTTTTGCACCCAATTCTACTTCAGTATCCAATGCAAGTTGCTCTGATTGGCTCCATTTTTCCTCCTGCAGTTTCACTTTCTGCTGTATAGCTTGAATATCATCCTCAAGTTCCACTACCATCAACTTCTTCTCCTCAATTTCAAGTGCAGCTAGAATCTGAGATGCTGTGATCTTGTCACAAGCTTCACGGATGAGGTTAATTTCAGCCTGTTTCTCAACAAGCTGTGAAGAAAGGCTAGTCAACGAGTTAGTGAATTGCTGCTCCAGCGAAGTCACCTGCAGCATGAGTTCATCCATTCTCTTGCCTTTTCCTTTTACAAGCTGGATAAGATTATCTTTCTCATGCTCAAAGGTTCTCTCCACTGTGCCTTTCTCAATCACAGCACTTTCAAATTCTCTTCTAAATATTTCTTGTTCCAGCCACACAACCTCTTTCTGGAGCTCTTCAAGAGTCTTGTCCTTCTCTGCTATGATCCGGAGATATCTGACATTATCAGACTCAGAGGACACTGCTGATTCTCCCCTTGTTCTTGGCTCATGTTCCAATAGCACAACATCTTGCTGCAGATAATCTAGGGTTCTCTCTTTCTCTTCCAACTTAAATACCAAGATATTTTTTTCTTGCTTGAGTCTTTCACAAACATCTACTTGTGCCAGAAGTGAAGTTTCCAGTTCTCTACGCACCACAAGATTTTCTTCAATATTATTCTTCAAGCGCTCAACAGTTGACTTCCAGATTTGCAACTCAAATTCCATTTCATTTCTTTCACATATTGTCTCATCCAATTCAATGATTGCACAGTCTAAAGCATCGTGAATTTCTTTAAGCTGTTCTTTATAGTCACATTCCATCTGCAAAACCTTCTCTTTGAGGATCATCTGACTCATAGTTGATTCCTCCAGTATTTCCTTGTTTCTGTCAAGTTCTTTTTGCAGTGAATGCTGCAGTTCATTGTTGGATCCATAAGACTCAACCTGCCTCATCAAACATGCTGCTATCTCAAGTTGTTCATTTATGCTTTTCTGGGCACTGATCAAAGCAGTATCTTTCATCTTCAACTGCTTCATCAGTTGGAAGATCTTATCTTCTCTTGCTTTGCTGATAAGGTCCATCTCATCTTTGCAGCAGGCAAGTTTCAATTGAGCATCAGAAATTCCCTGTTTCAACACTAGCAGCATCACAGACATCTCCTCATTCAATAACTTCATCTCAATGGCTAAAGTATGAGACCTTTCTAACTCCATCTGGAGATCTTCCACTGCTTCAATTTTAGTTTCCAACTCAGACTGACATATATTCAGGTCTTCTGTTAACTGTTTTAGCTTAAAGCTCCATTCAGCTTCTTTAGCCTTTAAAGTAGAGGCACACTCTTTATGAGTTTGTTCCAAATTTCTGAGCTTGGACCGCAACTTTGATTGTGAATATGAAGCTCCAGCTTCTTGAATTTGAGCTTCCTGGAGTTCTTTGAGGGACGTCCGCAGCTCTTGATTTTCTTGCTCTAGCTTCTCAATCCTGTACTTTGATTCTTTATGATATGCCTCTTTCGTTTTTAGCAAATATCTCAGATCTGCAATATCTTTGTCACGGTCAGTGTTTAAGCAATCTAGCTGTAACCTAGCATCCTGGTACTCATTACTAGCATTATCAAGCTCCACCTTAAGATTTGAAACTTCAACTTCCAGGCGCTTTTTCTGGCTTTCTACATGAGCAAGAGCTTGGTGGCAAGACTGTAGCTGATGTTGTAAATCCTCTGATATTCTGATCTGAGAGTCTAACTTAGTCTGAAGTGAAGAAATCTCGTCAAGCAATGTAGATTTTTCCATCTCCCACTCCTTCTTGCTAGACTTAAACTGGTCTCTAAGTTTTTCATATGCTTCTTCTAAATGGTTAAACTGTTCCTTCTTCCATTTTAATTGTTCTTCAACCCTTCTGCTTTCCTCCTCTAACTTCTGGAACAAGTCATCTCTTTCTCTCAGTTCTTTGGATACTTTAATTTTTTTCTCTGTTTCGAAACACTTCTCCTTTGAAACTGAAAGACAACCTTTCAGTCTTTCAATCTCTTGTTTGTACAGATAATTCTGTTGTTCCTGGTTCTGTGACTTCTCATTTGCCTCCTCTAAGGCCAACACCAACCCTCTTTTTTCTTCTTCCCACCTTTTGAACTTGTCATTGCAATCCACTCGAAGTTTATCATTTGCAGCACTGAGATGCTTGATGATGGACTCCTTTTTATTCAAATCCTCTTTGAGATCTTCACAAACTGACTTTGTCTCAGAGATTTCATATGCCTGTTGAAAAAGTTTTTGATCCTGCCTCTCAGCTTTGGACTTTGCTTCCTGTATCTGATTGACCTGTGCATTATAAGATTTCTTCAAGTTCTCAAATGAATCTGTCTTGGCTCTTAGTTCTGCCTTTAGTTCCTCAATTTCTGCTTTTGCTTCGTCAAGCTCTTCATAAACCTTGGCCATTTCTTTTTACATTTATGACACCCAAAAAAGACCTGTTTCGAAAGCAGTGTGCAAAAATTAAAACAAGGAGTGCTACAAATCAAGAAAATAAAAGACGAACAAGGGACCAAAAATTAAAAAGCAAAGCATATCAATTCGAGAGGCATAGATTAGAGTTAAAAAAAAGACTTAGCATTTCAGTTAACTGCGTGTTTGAATTAACTTATTTCAAGGGTTTAGAGTTTGGATTAACTTATTTCAAGGATAAAAAAGCTTTGAAGTTTTAACCAAAAAAATCCTGAAATAGTTTTTAAAAAATCAAAACAATGGCACTGTTTCCAAAAATGAAGCAGTTCCGAATATGCATCAAATTGATTCTGTGATCTGCCTATACACTGCTACCACCAAATGATAGAGGCTAAATAACAGTTATACTGAACAGGGAACAAGTAACTCAAATTTCATTCTGGGAATATTTCCTAGGAAAACTAATTATCAAAATCATGGTAGAAACAACATCTCATTTTAGGTCTCTAATAGATTAGACACTCTCCTCTTATGAGAAAGCATACCTCCAAACACCCAGACCCAGGAATTCCAAGTTAAAAATGAACATTATAGAACCATTAATTTATAGATATTAAAGGCTACTAGGTTCGCTTTAACATGTAAAAGGAAATGAACCCCAATAATATCAGCAAGACTAAAATACCTTAAAATTATAAATAGATAATTAGACTACAAGGAATCACATAAAATTAAACCTCGCTCCCCGCTAACCTTAATAAATCATCTGATTTCATATTCAGGAACTGGTTTTGAGGAAAATAGAAAAATGAAAATCCTAAAGAAACTTGTCAAGATATTAAGGGAAACAAGTATGAAGAGGAAAGAGATGGAACCCAGAAACTGACCTGACTTGAAGAGCAGAAGAAAGTGTTGCGTTAGAGTGAGTGAAGGTGGAGTGGAGGAAATGCAAATGGGAGAGAAAGAGAGAGAGAGAAATGCACCGCAAGTTACCGTTATGGTGCACCAACCGCTTTTCATGTGAGATGAAGAAACAAAAATGAAGTTAATGGCTTGTTTTCGAAATGAAAAACTAGCCGTTGAAAGTTGAAACTGAAAATTCGTCTCCCGTTAGGCTCTATCATTTTATTTGGGCTCAAGCGTGCTCTCTAGAGTTGGGCCTTTGGCCCATCCCTTCTTTTTCGCCCATCAGTTACGACATGTGAAGGGATCTTCTGAGCAAAACTGCAATGCATAGCGTTGGCGTAAATATACTGAGCGCAGTGGTACGCTATATTATTTACGTACCTCTATCAAAAATAAAATAAAAATTAAGATTAAGTATTAAAAGTATTATAATCTAACTAGTGTTGTGATTGATCATTAAATTTTAAAATCTTAAATTTAAGTTTTAAATTTGATAAAATTATTAATTTTTAATAATAAAATAATATAATAATCTAACAAATATGGTATCTCTTTTATATATTATATTATTAGTATAAATTTTTCTTTCTTTTGGTTTCTTAGCTACCTATTGTTGTTTTTAAATCATAACAGTGTGATTTTATTTTAAAATTATGGATTTAGTGTGGTTTTTATTTACTGATTTAATAAGTCATCTATGGAGAGTCCGACTTATATAAAGGTAATTCATATTTTCAAACTACAAGTTATTAAAGTAATTCTTTTAAATAGAAGTTGCACATTTAGTATACGATTTGCAATTTTTTTTAATAAAAAGATAAGTATGCATTATCGTATATATGACTTACATATTTTTTTTAAAGAAAATCTAAGTTGTATATTAAAAAAATTTATAAGTTATATATTAGAAATATAAAGTGATTATCCATACATACATACATATATGGTGATGTGGTGGTGGTGATATAGGTATGTGTGAGAGAGGATGAATCATTTACTCTAAGAGTAAATTTACCTAAACTTATTTTATTCAATAATTCATGTTCTTCATCAAAATTCAACAATTTAACTATTGAATTAAAAGTTCTTAATGTTTAGATCAATTTTGTAAATTTTTTAAAAATTTGAAAATCATATGATACTTCATTATATAAATTTAAATTAATATATAAAATATTTTTATAATTATCTGTCAGTTTGAATTAATGAAATGAAATATTAAATAGTTTTCTAATTTATAAACTTGATTTATTTATTAAGAACATTTAATTCAATAGTTAAATCATTAAAATTTGATGTAAAACATGTTATTGAGTGGAATAAGTCTAGATAGACTTAGTCTTGAAATAAATGAATCCCTCTTATATATATATATATATGGTTAAAAATGAAAATGTTCAATCTCAACTCTTATAATTGACAACTTAGATTAAAAGAGTACAAACAAAACTATCACATTTTGTTATTATAGTAATTGTCTCTATCATTATCATTATCATAATTGTAACTGCCACCATCATGTCATCACCACCACTATTATTGTCTCCGCCATTATTATTAGTACCACCATTAGCATCACAATGTCTAAGTCCTCACTAATCATTCCATTAGTATCCATAAAATTAGGGGTGGATATAAGGATCGGTTCGGCCCGTTTAAGGCCCGGTCCGTAAAACCCGCGTTTTATACGGGCCGGATAAGTCCGGTCCGTAAAATAAATGACTTATTTTTTAAATACATATCCGACCCGCCAAAATCTGCAGATAACGAACCGGTTCGCGGGCCTAAATAATGGTTAAAAAATAAAATTTTAAAAATAAAAATACATAAAATTAGAAAAAAAAAATATTTTTTATTTATAAGCTAAATTTTATCATACTAAAATTTATCAATAGTTAAAATGGTTTAAAATACTAAATATTAAAATATTAAAATAAAAATAATTACAAATACTTAAATAATAGTACCAAACTTTCAATAATAAAAGCATCAAAATGTATAAAAGTAATTCAAATGACAAATACTACCAACTAAACATAATTTTCATGTCATAATAATTTAAAAAATTAAATACACAACTTAATATTAAAATCATAATATTTAAAAATATTAATTAGTGAAGTCCGCGGACTAGCCCGCGAGCCCGCTGATTAAATCCGCCAAGTCCACGAACTTCACGAAATGGACTAAAAAATTAGACATAATCATACAGATTTAAAAAAAATAGGTCCGTTATCCGCGAAATCCACGGACTTACGGACCGGTCCGCGGACCCGGGTCCGTCTACCCACCCGTACATACAATCCAACTAATACAAAAACAATGCAATAGACATCTCAACTTTTGTTAGACTAAGATTCTTCTTCCAGAGCCAAATAAAATGTTTTCAAAATTACTTCCTTCATAGTTAATAGAGTAACCAATGAAATTTTGTACATAAAACCCCTGCTTTAAAACCTTAGGTCAGTTTGGTTTATACTTATGAGTCACTCACATTCTCTTCGAGGTAAAAAGAAATAGTAGAAAAGTGTAACCTCAATCTCAATGTCAATTGACTATCTTTAACATTGTTGTAAATTATTACATAAAACGTTCCTTTTATATTACATAAACAAACATATAACTTTAATGCATATATATATATATATAAGAAGCATATCAAGCGAGACAGAATTTATTATGAGATATGAGAGAGTTAAAATATAACCCTTAAATTAATTTCCTCTCACTTGATTAAACCCTAAATTTTCTCTCACTTAATTAATCTAAGAGTTATATTTTAACCCTCTCATCTCTCATAATAAATTTTTTCTCACTTGATATGCTCCCTATATATATATATATATATATATATGAGATGGTGGTGTGTAGTGGTGGTTGGGTGGTCATTGGGTGACAACATTAATGATAATTACAACAGTGGTATAATAATGGTGCTAGAGGTGACAATGGTGGGAAAAATGGTAATAATGATAGTTGCGATAATGATTATAATAAAAACAATTATAACGGTAACAGTATGTAATAATTTTGTCTGTAATTTTAATCTGAATTGTCTATTTTAATCCAATACTTATTATCAATAATTTTCATTTCTTATAATTAATTTGTGTGTGTGTGTTTTGGATTCACAGGCCGGTCCCATTTTCTGCTATAGTTATACGATAAAAATAAACAGGCCCGATAAGTATACGCACATAGAATCGTATACTCACCCCTACCTATAACTAGTATACAGATTCAGGTCCATTGCATAAGTCTATAAATAAAAGAGAACAAACTACCAGAAAATAGCATGTACTTACAATCATTAATCAAATCAATAAATTCAATGCAACCATGCAAATCACTGTGTCAACATGGCAAGTTTAGTTAGGAAGGAAACAATGATGTATGGATAAAAGGAAATAGCATGCCCCCACTTTCCACACTGTTGCCTTCCCTCATCCTTTTCCCAGAGTGTGGTTACTGGTTAGATTATCAATGGTGATAGAAAATTTAGTTATGTGTGAATAAAAAAGGTTTTGGTGTTGCAAATCTGAAAAAAATGTATGCTTAGCTAAGGATGTATTTGTGAATGAGAATCGAGATCGACGTGTGGGTGTTCTTGTCATTGACTTAAGTGAAAAATTGCATGCATGTAATATTGAATGGAGGTCTGTTATCGATGATGGTGAATCATAAAAAGTTGAAGTGGAAAAGTGTGCTTCTGGGAGAACAGGCAAGGAGACTGATTTTACTGGAAAATTGGATTACTCTACTGCAAGATAACACAACTTTCAATAGCATAAACTACAACATAAAATGTCTCTTTGACAAACAAAAATAATAATGTGGGATTTCCCAGAATATATGCTCAAACATTTTTTTTCTTCTAAAGATCTCATAAAGAGGATACCTATAAATAAGTAAAACAAAATTTCGGATACATAGTAATACACCTCAAGGTTTGCAAGAACTCAAAAAGCACAAGAAAGCCAGGGAGACTACACATCCTTAAAACAAAATTTTAAATACTTTTATCTAATTTTTTCTGCCCTTATTTCTTTTGTTTGAAACTACAACCCACCCATCATCTGCTTCACCTGAAACCTTTGGCACAGACCCATTAACTGGCCTGTTCACTGAATTCATGTTTGAATCAGACGTTGGAATCTCCTGATTCATGTTTGAAGAATTATCATCCACGAGCATGTTTTCATCATTATCACCATCTTCATCTGTATCGTCTTCATCATCATTTACAATCTAGCACATCATAAATGTCCAACATTATTAATACATTCAAATCAAGGGAAGTGAAAGATCATCCAATTGATACTTGGGCCATACGTAAACAAGTAGATGTGTATACATCAACTAAACATGATCAATAAGCATATTTAACAAGAAGACAATTACTTTCATCTAATCCCAGCCCTGTTTAGGAGATCAACAGAAATGCTATTCACATTTTGTGCAGGAGGGGGGTTAATAAAGGAGATTTAAAAACTAGTGTAGGGTATGAAGGAAAGGAAAAAAGGAAAGTGCGATTAAGTCCAGGATGAAGCAGTTCCTGTTTATATTATTTCATGACTTTAGCATGTGAACAGTTAGTTTGAGAAGGAAGAAGAGAGGCACTAGATGACATTCTGCATTGAGGCACACAACACTTACAAAAGAATAAAGTATCACAAAGGTGTAAAGGCCATATTCCCTTTCCATCCAACCTCCAAAAAAAAATATACTATAAACATTGCATTACTCCATACGGTCTTGTTGCACATAGTTATAAAATAGAAGATACCAAAAATCACACGTCACATGAAATAACAACTTAATGTTTATCCCTCCAAAAATACCCCATCATTTAGAAATTGAAAAACCCAAAGTAATCCTATATACAACCCTGTAAGTTAAACATGATCTAATCTAATTATAAAAACAGTAAAGTGCCATTGTGAGCATATTGTGGCTGTAATTTACCTGTGTTACATGAGGACGGGCAGCTTGATCAAGGTTTTCTTTCCTGAGATTTTCGAAAGAACTAAAATTACCTTCTAAAAATTCTTCATGCATAACCATTAATTTTTCAGCTACCTACATAATCACGAGCATGGATATGAAAAATAAGAATAAGTAAACATTGCAAAGCATACATATAAAAAACAAGTCACTAGCAATGGAATATACAAAGCTCCAAATATATTTGATTGAATCCCATGAATATTAATATGATTCTTCACCTGGGACATAATTCAAGTTTAGTCTGCTTAGCATCACATAGACACCATAAAAGCATTTAAAGCTGTTTCTTTTTCAGTAAATGCATCCAAAGCAGTAGACTTTAGGGATATACAAATCCTTCAAAAGAATGATATAAAATACAGGTATTGAAGGCAGGCTTTTAAAGATAAAATAGTAATAAATGATAATGACATAAAAAAATTAGTATACAATGACATCTTCTTTTCCAAAAACTAAAAACAGATAGTGGCATCATGACATGAACTATGCTTAAGATGGGGAAGGGGTGAGTTAATGTCAGCATAATTGATATTATCTCCTTCAATTTGATCACTATATAGCAAAGAAAGATTCCTCAAACCTTTTACCAATGTATATACTTGTTAGAAAAGATATTAGCAAAGTTCAACAACAAATAATCACTAGCTCGACAATTTGAGGCCAACAATTTAAAAAATAAAATGTATACCTCTTCAATGCTGCCATCCTCGACCTCTACATTGAGAGAAAGCATACCTTGATCCAGTAGATCTTCTAAGTCATCAATATAAAGAGGCTCTGGGCAGCGACAATCAAAAGAATAGATAAATAAAACAGAGTTTCCACTCCACACAATTGCCTTTTGTAGCAAATGGTGCTCTAAGCAAAATTGGAGAAGCTTAAACGAACGTCAATTGTTGTGTTAACTAATATATACCTTTGGATTGCGTGAACCAGGAAAGAATGTCACTGGCAAGTTGCTCCGCTTTGATGCGTGACTCACGGCCACCCCATTCGTTCTCCACAGCCGATCGAAGAGCCGACCAGCGAAATAAAATTAAACCAATCCCTTCACTGAAAACTCCTATAGACTGTCCTTGTAGCCGCCGAGAACCCTCCATTCCTCTTTCTATCTATGTTTCAATGTGTCACCAGAACACAATAAACCCTTTTTCTTCAAAGGGACCTGCATTAAGCATGCCCTATTGATGAAGCCACGCTTACAATGAATATCAAAACCCACATACATGTGAAACTAGTGTGTGTATCTGTACTAATTTTTTACAGATAAATTTAAAAGTTCACGATACAGTAAAAATTCTTTAGAGGAAACGAAGTTTAAAGAATATATATGTATCTTCTTCATCATGTTGTTTAGTCTAAAAATTAATCAACCAATTAGAAAACTACTGTAACTGCAAATATGAGCAATAGTTGTTGACATGATACACCAGCAGAGAACAAAATGAGTGGTAATTAAATCAAAGTCATATTAGATATAAAATAAAACAAGAAAGCAAACTATGCGAAAGGAAACAGAGGGCAGAAAAAAAGGTTGCGACATGATATGAAAACAGAAGATGAAGAAGAAGAAACCTTACCGATCAATAGCGAGGGGTGAGGAGAACCTCTGAGCCAAAAGCACAAGAAAATGGAGGCTAGGGTTCGTATATCAATTACCCCTTTCTTTTTTCTTCAGTTTGTAATATTTAATGGCTTATTTTCATTTTAATGTCCGAGTCGAGTTGTGTGACAATTACACTAAAATTAATACTTTTTAATCATTAATTGGATTAGATTAAAAAATTTAATGGCTAAATTTTACTTTTGTTTAAAATAAAAATATTTAATCTTTTTTATTTTAAAAATATATAATTTTAATTCTTAAATTAAATTCACATTTATTAAAGAAGCATTAGTTATGCAAAATATTTTTATTTTCTTGAATGTTAATTTGAAAATTTTACCTCATATTTAATAATTATTTAAAAAAATTCAAGAGATATAGTTTATTAAAAATTATTTTTATCTCAGTTTTTCACAAAGTCATTTTCATGAAATTAGAATGTGCAAAAAGTTTTATGTTTATAAAAAAAATCATGGTATCTCTTTTTAAAATATAAAATATATAATTAAGTTTTATATTTTTCTAAAACATTTATTTTTTTATATATTTTATTGTTCACAAACTTTTTATTTTATATCTATGTGTGTGATGAGAATATTTGTATCGATTAAAATTCATTATTTTTATCATTTCTTATCTTATAGATTTTGTGTTAATATCTATTTGATTGAACAATTAAATTGTGTTTTCATTATTTCATCAAATATAATTTTAATGTGTAAAACTTAATTAATATTTTTTTTATCCATTACCACTTGAATAAGAAATATGAAAATACATTAATTTTATTAACTAATTAAAATATAAATTAAATTAAAAAATTCATTACAGATATTATTTTTTTATCACTTTTAATTATATTATTTTTTAAGAAAAAGGAAATCGATGCAACATTTTATGTATAAAATTTTAATAAATTATTTTATTGTGTTTTTTATTACAAAATATTTGATTATTATTAGGTATGAATTACTATTTTTTATCACGCTTTCCCGTTAGTATAATAATAAAAATCAAATAATTATATAATTTATATAAATAATGGTGTATTTATAATTATTTAAGATTTATAAATTATAAAACTACATTATTAATTTCTTATTATAACTTTTAGCTTCTAAATTTAACAAATTATTTAAATAAAACAATGTTATATATGTTTTTTTTTATTATTTTATAATTTACTTATATTTTAATTTTAATTATTATTTTGATTGTTAATTTAACTTTTTTTTTATTATGATAAATCATGAAAATCATATTTTACACTTTGATTTACCATGTATTTTATATATAGTTTTATCAAATGAAAATTATCGATTTGCTATTTTAAACTAAATATGATATATTTCTTATGTTAGATTATGAGAGAGTCACACCCTACAAAGAAGAAGAAACTCAATTCTTTTGTAAAGAATATTTTCGTAAAAAAATATTTATACTCAGAAAAGTAATATTATAAACAAACCTAAAAATCTCTATTTCTTAAAAAAATCTATATAAATATTTTCAATAATTTTTATGAATAATTAAATAGATTTTAGTCATCCTATAATGATAATTCTCATTATAATATTTATTCATACTTAAGTAATGTGACATGTAAATAACATAATTCTCAAGTATAATGTTTATTCATAGTAATATGACATTTGAGGATAAAAAAGACTTAAAAAATATGTAAATAAAATTTATTAATAAAATAATCAACCACTCCTTAAAATATATACCAACAAAAAAATTTGTATGTTATTTTTAAAATTTTCATTTTTACATATCACATCATTGTACATCATGTCACTTAAGTAGTATATGTCACTTAAATAATAATATATCACTGAACAACGTCAAAATTTAAATATCAATAAATATTAAATTGACAATAAAACAAGAGTTTAATATTTTTAAAAATATGGGACTAAATGTTTATATTTTAAAATAGAGGATCAAAATTACGAATCAATAAAAATAAAAAGTACAAAAGTTAGCAAAATTTAATTCTAAGACTTCCTTTCATTCATTGTAATTTTCTCTATTTTCGCTCTTTGTTTACAACGGATACAAAGATAAATTAATCCACCTGTATATATTAAATATAAATTGTTATCTTGAGCGAGAGTATTTTTTAGAAATTATTCTTCCATAAGAGAATTTTTAAAATTTTTAACTTCTTATATAATTTAATTTTTATTTATCATATTTATTTATAAATTAAATTTTAATATCTTTAAAATAAGTTATCAATTCTCTTTAAAATGAAACTTTTTAGGTATTTTTTGTAAGAGTATTTTTAAGGATGTTTTTAACTTCTTATCTAATTTAACTTTTATTTATGATATTTATTTATGAACTAAATTTTAATATTTTTAAAATAAATTATTAATAATAAAACATAATATCATGTTATAATATAAATTATTTTTCTAAAATTTCAAATATAATTTATATGTTTAAGAACATTGTTGTGAAAACCAATTCGAACCAATCAATCAGGAATCAATCACCAACCAGTTCGGTTCAACTAGAAAATTGTTCTATATTGAACCAATATAACCAGTCAAAATAGATAATAAAAAAAATCAATCAAACTAGTTTTAATCGGTCCAATTAAAACGTAATGTTCTATATTTTAAATTTTTACCAATCAAAATAAAAATAAAATCTGATAAAATAATTTATTATATATATATATAATCCTCACAACACATCAACATAAAGATTTTTCTATTGGTTTATTAATCTCTTGATACTGCACATACACACAAATAAAATAAAATAAATAAACCTTCAAACCTACTTTTTCTAAATTAAAATAACAGCCTATTTAGATTACATATAAAAATAATGGATCATTTTACCTCATTCAAGTAGTTATATAATACTTTCTCATTTGTTTTTATAGGCTTTCCCCAAGATTGCCAACACCAATTATGCTTAGTCCATTGGAGATTCACAGAAGAATTAGCTTCCAATCTCTTATATCTCTTCCAATCATGGAGTGTTGTCTTGATATCTGCTACCTTTGCAGCAATGCTTTTGCAACAATTGGCATGAATTGTAGTGACTGACCTAAAATCCCTGTTATCTTGACAAAATCCACTAAAATAAAGAGTGTCTAAAAACCTAACTCTAAGTCTCAAATGCTCAATTATACCACTTTTAATGAGATCAAAAAGCACATCTTGCTCTTTTTTGCCCACAACATTATCCTTTTGTCTATACCATGTTTCAAATAGAGAAATGGTCTTGTTGTTGGACCTCACAAAGTAAAATCCAGTGTTAATTGGATTCTTTTTTGACCAAGGATCACCAAGGTATATATCTGTGCTGATTTGAAGGTCTTCTGTCTTATTCTTGCTCAATCTTATAAATGGATTTCTTAACCATATTATGTCTGTGTCCTAAAAAAAACGTATGAAAATTAAAGGGAATGAAAGTTGAGAAGTGAAACTAATGTACTTTTACATGAACTATTTGATTTTTTTATGAGATGTTGAGTTGAAACTTGCATAAAATTAATGAGAACTTAAAAAGTGAAAAACAAATCTCTTTATGAGCAGTTACTTATAGAAAGTTCTAGAAAAAAAATAAGGGGTAAAAATATCCATATTAAAATAGAAATCAAAAGTAATTATTAAAATAAATAAAAAAATATAATAATATTATTTTTATGAGTATCTACTTGTCATGTGAACAGTTTTAGAATAAAATGAAAAAATAATATAAAACGAAAATAAATAAGAGACAAAGGCTTTATGTAAAATGGAATCAAAAATTATAATGAGTAAAATAATTAAAAATTATTAGGATTTATTAGTTGAAATAATATATTTAGGATTTTAAGTTTGAATTTTATTGTGATTATTGTAATTTTTATAAATAAAAAATAAAAAGAAAAAACAGTTACTAAAATTAGTATATTTTAACATTATAGAAAACTAAAATGTCACTCTACTATCTTAATTATTATGCGAAGGAATTGAAAGTTTAAACGCTTTTAAGTAAAAATGAGTTTAGTTTGTTTATAAAATTATTATTGTAGTATATATGTTTAATATTTATTATGTATAACTATAATTTATAATAAATTGTATAAAAAAAAAATATTATGTTTAAAATTACATAAATAGATATTTTAAATAAATAATTTTTATTTTAAATTTATGATAAATAATTTTTATTACAAATTATTTTTATTTATTGATACTTTATTTAAAAATTATTAAAATTTAATTCATAAATAATTACATTAAATAAAAATTGAATTAAATTTGAAGTTAAAAAAACTTCTAAAAGTTTTCATGTCAATTTTTTTAAAAAAGAAACACTATCATATAAAATAATCATTCATATTTAATATATAAGAGTTGATTAATTGATTCTAATATTATATTTTCTCATATACATTAAAAAGATTGTAAAAGTTCTAAAAATAGTACTCTTTGAATCTTTCATAAATAAATAATTCTTATATCTTAATTTTTATCTAAGAGGTAACATTGTATTGATATTTTATAAGATTATTTTAATTTTAACATAAAAATACATTTTTTTTTTAAAAGTTTGTAAAATATAATGACTTTATTTTTTTTAAAATTATAATTAGTATTTTATAATATAAAGTTTAATAGACTTGATGATAAGAATTTATAAGATTCTTATAATATTTGAAAGGATGATAAATTTCGTACGTAACAAAGTTTGTTTTTTCAATATGAGTACAATAAATTCCTTCTTAGCTAGGCACATTTATGGAAATGTTACTTGCACCAAAAACTTTCTTCCAAAATGTGACGGGTCTATGCTTTACAAACTTGAGTAACAGATCAAACCTTGCTTTACTGATCGATGAATCAGGTAACATTTAAAAAAATAAAATAAAGGAATAATGGCATGGGATTTAGTAAAAAAAAAATGAAACATATGTCATTCAATTTAGTAAAGATGGTTTTTTTTTTTGGTAAACTTTACTAAAGATGGTTAAAAATACGTATAAAGGAGTATATGGGAAAAAAAAAAAAACTCTCTATTTTGTGATAAGACATCAATCCATCGAGGTAAGGACTCAAATTGGAGGTTCACTATATTTTATTCTGTGCAACTGAAAACAAAAAAGATTAATCAATCAAATCAAAAGAAATAACAAAAGATGGAGGAAAAGAGAATTTCATACCGTGAAAATGAAGTTGTAGCCACGTTTTAGAACTTCCAAGAGGAAATGAGTTCTTGTCCACATCATCTTGATGAAGTCTTGAGACATGTAAATTTTTTCACCTTCAAAATCAACTCCATCTGTTTTTAATCTGAAGCAATTCAACTTTAAAAATTGGCATCGATCATAGGCCGTTCGATCAACCGCTACTATAAGAAGATGATCAATGAGAGACCTTGTTCCCTCTCCAAGCCAAAAACTATCAAGAAATATATCAAACATTGTAGTATCACTCTCTACATCTTGCTCTACATATGCCTTATTTACTATAGCAATTATCACCGTTTTGTTTCCCATTGAGGCTTTGGCCAAAGCATGATCAAGGGCATCTCCATGTGCTTCAATATTGGTGGTGGTGGTCTATTATGAACAAATTAAAAGAAAATTAAAACCATGAAAATTTATAAAAGAAATATCCATGTATACACTTTGATACAAACACTACAAAAATGTTATATCTAGTGACATATAAAAAATGTTATTATAAGTATAATATGTAGATATATTTATTTGACATATAGTTGCATATAATTTTAGTATTGATTTTAAATATAATTTAACAACATATTTTATATATTAGTATAGTCTATACCCACACTTTTTAACAAAATATATATATATATATATATATATATATATATATATTATTTAGTGTATAAGTAAAAGTAATTTTTAGTGACATATAATGTATTATTATAGAACATGTGCTATTATATGATAATTTTCTTTTAGTGAAATAAAATAAAAGTATTCATGGCAACGCAACATTACCCTTTTAATTATATAGAATATCCATAACTTTTTATGATGAAAAACAATTGAATATGGGTGATTTGAACTTACAAAATTTAATTGTTTGCATAGTGATTCTTTCTTGGATATTAGGGCTAATTCGTTGGAGAAAGAATACAACCAGTGATACATCAAAATAACTGCTACGATGATTAACGTCACCCTTGCCAAACTCCCAAATACGGGTTTAGGATTATACATGATCATCTATCTCTATGATTTTTTTGTGAGGGCACAAAACCAAAGTTGAGAACCGTTTTATATATATATTTTGGTGCATTTTGGCTAAAGGTTGATGTCTATATATGGTATAATGAACAATATCAGCCAAGTGGAGAGAAGTATTTAGTTTCTTTTTCAATGTGTTGATTGTTTAATGGTGATAGAATCCGGTGGAGATAAAAGAGAGAGAGAGAAAAATTGGTTACATTTCTTTATGTTGATTAGGATTGTTTTTATTATTATTATTATTATTATTATTATTATTATTATTTATATATATATATATATATATATATATATATTAATATTAGAATTAGAGTTACTCTCGATAATTTATGAAAAACATATTAATGAAGTATGTGTTGAATGAATGAATAATATTGAGGTTAAATTTTAGTTTTGATCGAATGATTATACCAATCACACCTAAAATTATACCTAAGTTTTGTTCATAAAAGAAATCTATCATGTGCATTGATTTCGATTATAGTTTGAAACATGAAGTTAGTATTGATAGGGATGATAAATAAATTTTTATCCGTGAATAATATCCGAACCTGTCCCGACTTTAACGGAGAATAACTAGTTTGACCGAGTACGCAAAATGTTAAATTGGGGACAGGTATATACTTATTTGTCCTGTCTCCATCCCCATCCCCGATTTAATACCCGTCCCCGTTCCCATCCCCGGTATAATACTCATCCCCGATTTGATTATTTTAAAGAATTTTAATATTTAATTATGTGTGATTGTTTATTATGATGTGCAACATTTATGATTTTTTAATTATTAAAAAGTCTCTTGATTAAAATATGAGATAGACAAACAACTCAATTATAATTATAATATAATGGAAAGATAAACTAAAAAATATTGTGTGTGTTTGTTTTGCAAAAGAAAAATAATTAACTTTTGACGGGTATGAGTATACTTGATACCGATGGAGACGAGGATAGGACAAAAATCACATATCCGACGGGTACAAAAACGGGAATGAGAATGGGTTTGAACCGTGGGGACAAGAATAAGTATCATGAAACTCGTACACGAACTGCCTCATTGTGATGCCTAGGTGTTGATAATGATATTCTTGGCGATTGATCAAAAATTGATATTTTCTTTATCCCACAATAAGTAACGTCTTAAGTTATTTTATATAAATCAAGAAAAGTTAATAAATAAATGAAAGAGAATAATAATTTTACCGATTAACCTTATGATTAATCTTCATTGTTCATAATGATGTAACATAATAATCACTCTTTAAATGTATAAATAAAAATTGTAATTCTCTAAAAATAATAGTAGGAATTTATATTTTTAAAAATATTTTTTTGAAATAAATTATTCCCATTTGTTTTAATTAATTAATTTCAAATAGATTATAAGGAATTTATGTTTATCGATTGGCTATAAAATGTAAAAATAGGGTAACAATAACAAAGGTTTCTTCACATCTTTTGCGCCTATTGTCACTTTGGCATGTGTTTTTCTTCTTTTTTCTTTTAATGATTTTGTATTCATTTTAAGTAAGGGTGAGATTGCAATTTGAATGTCAAAAGTCGTTACTTTGTAATTTTGTTTTAGTGTATGGTTACATTATAACCAATAAGAACACACTTTTTTACATACTTTTTTATACTCTCTTTTAAATTATTGGTTAAAATTTATTGAGAAACATAAAAAATTCGTAGGTCTTATGTGACATCCTCTATCTACCTCATATACTATATAATACACAAATAAATAAAATTGAATAGAAAATTTTATCATAAATAAATTTCCAATGTTCAACATAAAAGGTATCACATTTTAACTTAAATAAAAGTCAATTGAAATCCAACTGAAATAATAATGAAATTGAACAAATGTATTAAAACATAACAATAGAAAGAAAATTCTTACTTAAGCTCTAATGTCACATCCTATCAAAACATAACTCATTTATAAAGACCAAGTCTTTTCACTAACATCCTCAACATCATGTTGAAGATCACCTGCAACAACATACAAGAAGAACAACACTAAACAAGGGAAGTGAGAAACATCTCACTCTAACTCATGTCATAAAATGCAAATGGATAATCGAACACAAACAAGATACAACATATAACCATAACAATTATAAACATGTTAACATTGTTCAAAGTATAATAAGTTAATACAATAGTTCATTTGTATGAATTATGCAATGAACACAAACTACATTTAATCATGCATATGGCACTAGTAAAAAACATCACGTGGTATATTGCCTCAAGCAACACATAAAGTAACCTAGAAGTACATGTCTAATCACACCCTTAATGTACACTCACTAGGAAGACATACTACTAGAGTCTAGCTAGGACAACAATGTAGCGCAAGTTCTACCTCATGCACACAATAACAAGATTGGGGTTTTCCAATTGTCCCTATGGGCTGATCTCCAAGCTTTTACACAAGGGGACCTCCCTTGGCAACGTATTTCATATCTTACCTTTCAAAAATCATTTATGAATATGATGCATGTCAAATGGAACTCAATGCACTACTATATTACAACAATTCACAACTACAATTGTGCATCAATCATGTTTTCAATTCATGATCACAACATGGCTAAGTCTCACTTAGAATTCTCATCATATCATCTTTACAGGATCCATACACATCAATTGTATCAATTATAGAGCATATCAATCAATTCATACATAGCTCATAATCATGTTAATAACATACTCACATACGACAACTAGTTACCAACATTAATTAGCACAATTATTACACATGTTTACAGTTTAAACATAATAATTACACAACATCATCCAATACACCTCAAGATATAATCACTATAAGACTATCTAGTCATATGCTAACACCTTGACCATAGGCACTATGAGATCAACGTCACTAAATATTTAAATCAATAACTTAACTAGTCTAGAAGCCTTACTGATATCATACATTAAGTCCTTAGACATAGTTATCACAAAAAAAACCTTTAGTTCTTAACAATTAAATCACATCATAAATTATTCGTAATTGTCCTTTCTCATGATTTCTCTTTCGTAAACACTAACATAGGTACCACAAATCATTCACAAGATCAAACACGTAAATGGTAAAACCACTCAATACTAACACTATGAATCATAATCCTAAGCCATGCTACTAAAACACTCTTATTATAATTATTATAGGAATATTCGTCACCACTAATCTTTTGAACATTAACTCAATTACTTCCTTATCATTACTAGACCGTATCCTCAAGCTAATCATCCTCAAGTTATCTCAAACTCATAAGTATAACTCATCTTAAGCAATGTAGGACATAAAAGGGAGAAAAGACAAGAAAAGAGTGAGAAAAAGGAGCAACATGAGTCACAGTCATGACTAACAGATCACAACCATGACTTTGGTCACGCCCGTGACTCGCCCACTACAAAAAAAATGATAAATAATGGAGGTTTTAAAACCCTCCTTAAATTATTAAAATCTGCCATTTTTTTGTTTAATTTGTAGAGGTTTATAACCTCCTCTAATTAAAATATTATTTTAATTTATAGAGGTTTATAACCTCCTCTAATTAAAAAATATTTTCCCACTTAAATATTTTTTCTCTAAAAGTTAAAACAAAAGGAAATTAGTATGTGACTCTACAAGTACTTCCCTCTCAAAAGATAAAAAAAATCTTTTCATTTCCCTTTTAAAAGAATTAGAAAAAGAAACCCCTAAACCCTCTTTATCAGTACATGGCTCCTTAATGTATCCTAAATCCTGTGATGATTCCGGTGCCTCCAAAGTGAACCCTAAATCCCGTTTGCATCATTTTGATTCCATAGATTCTGCTTTGTATTTACTGCGCGTGCAATTCAACAAGGTTAGCTTCACCTTTCCAAACTTCATTTGCAGTGATATTTTATTTATTTGGAGCGTTAAATCAGTATTCATATATTGGTGTTGTTTAACGTTTGAATACATGGTCAATGCTTTTGACTCATTCCTCCCTTTTCAAATTCCTTAAAGTTGCCCGTGGATAATCTAATCCATCAATATCATAATTCCACCCACGAAACAAGTACGAGAATTAGCTTCTTTCTTCTTTTGCTTTTTTTCACTTTTTTAATATAAAAAAATACCGTAATAAGTGTTTTTCTTTTTCCTTATTTTTTTTTCCTACTTTCATTACTTTCAAACATAGTAGCTCACAACACAATCACATTAACACCACCCAAAATAAAACCAACAAACCCACAAGCCCGTATATATTATTATTATTTTTATATAATTTATTTATATTTGCTTTCCTCTAGTTTTTCTTTTTAATGATTAAATACATAATTTTATTACTTTAATATTTTTCTATTTCAATTTTTCTTCACCTAACAATTTTTAATTATACACAACTTGTAATTATATTCAGAATTATTTTTTCTTTTCATAATTGTTTTTTTTGCTTAACTAGATAAATAGTAAAAATATATATAATACTATATATTTTTCTTTATTTCAGTATTTTTTACTCAATTTTTTCTTAGAAATTTTTTCGCTCGATGGAAAAATTAGAATAAATGACATTGACAATCCTTAAAATTTCCTAAGATTTAACATAAGTTCTAGTTTTTATATCTCACACTAACTTTTTTAATTATTAAAAAATATTATATTAACATCTCTTATATAATACTAACTTTCCTTATTTGTTTTTAAAGCTTGTAGCTGAAGTTCTCTAGAGGAACAATTTAGCTGGTGCAATATTCATCTCTTTCTGTGGAGGTGCTGAAATTGGTCAGGCAATAGCAAAAGACACTTGCATTCCCCTAGTTTCATTTACTGGAAGTTCAAAGGTACTTTGTTTTCTTGGGATTTGGACATAGAATCTATTTGTATACAAATTTAGAAGTTCTTAAAAGAGTTTTCTTATAGAAAAATATTATTTATTTTCTATAGAAAAACTCTAAAACAATGCTTCTAATTTTTATTTGAACATGTTCATAATGTTTT